GGGACCAAGAAAAGGGAACGGGGAAAGGGGAAGGGGCGGGGCGACCACTGGGGACTACCGCGGGGGACGGGGTGGGGTGGGGACTCAGCGGGGCGGGGCTAGAGGGGGAGGATGGATCTACGGGCTTGCAAAGGCGTTCTCTGTTCAGCGAGGGGCAGAGGACCTGGCCTAAACAAGGCTCCGCGGTGTCTGCTCAGCACCCCCGGGGGCGCGATGCCGGTACTGAGCCCACCGCAGTTGGTGGGGCAGTGAAGCCTGCACATTTTCCACCCCGGAATCCCATGAAGGCATTTCTCGGTCTGCAGCCCAGGCCCCTCCCCGAGCTGTCTCGCTCTACCGACACGCGAGGGGCGGGAGCGGACCGCAGGGGGCGTGGGAGAGGGAGGGCCGAGCTCTCCGAGCGGGCGGAGGTGGTCGCTGAGCCTCGGGGTGGTGACCGAGTGAGGGGCCTGACGGCGGGGTCCATCCAGAACGGCCCGGACGACGGCGCGCAGTGAGGGTGAGACCCCAGCAGAGTCCCCTCCCCTAAACTCTCAGCAGCCAGGCTGAGAACCCCAGCCGACTCGGGCGCCACACCACGCCCCGCCTCGGAGGTGGGCCCCGCGAAGTCCAAGAAAAATCTTCGGGGTTCTAGCAAGAGGGCACTTGGCAGGACCGGACACTTCTCCCCTTCTCTCTCTCACTGGGGAAAATTTCCCATCTCTTTAACTCCCCCGGCTCAGGCTCTGCCCTTCAGAGCAGGGGTGGTTGAGAAGGTTGAACTCCGTGAGCCTGGTTGCACTTGAGCGAGGCGGGGAGCGAGGGTTCAGTCTTGTTTCTTGTCTGAGAGAGTAAGGGAGAGGGGAATTCTGGAAGGAATCCAGCATGTTAATAAGGTATGGGTCCAGTGCTTAGCGGAGGTGGAGTTAGGCCGCCCTTGGGTGGGATGGAAGGGTGAGGGAAGAGGGCTGATTTCTGAGTATTTTTTACGTGTTGGACAATTTCATATAAACTAGAACTAAACTGGAAGAGAGGGTGTAAAGTTCCTTTCTGGAGCTCCAGATGCCCTCCACCCTTCCTGTAAGGCCTCCTCCCCAAGCACCTCTTGCTGCCTGGAGCAGGGACAGTACTGTTAAGGGGAAGTGGCTACTCCTGGCCCTGACTATGAAGGGCCCATCCTGGCTGCCTTCCACAGGAAACCTGACCTGAGGGACAAAACGGGAAGGAAGCAGGTGGGTGTGGAGCCAGGAAGCAGTGAAGGGTGGCACAGGACATCTGAGGGGTGGGGGTGGGCGGCTGGAGGGGACCATGGGCTGGGAAGCAATGTAATTTATAGTCTAAACCATGTTCCCACAGCAAAAGCTGGGTCTTATAGAGGCCAGGGATTTGGTGATGGCCCTGCTGTGCCCAGCTGCCAGTCAGAATCCATCCCAGCTTTCAAAGGTGACCTCCTCTTAAAGCTTCCCTTAGCCTTCTAATGTGACTTTGGGCAAGGCAATTAACCTGTTTGTTTCAACCATAAAATGGGATAATAGAAGCTACCTCATAGGATTGTTGTAAGGATGGATTATATTCCGTAAAATGCTAGAACAGGCCCTGGCATAGGGTAAACAGAAAGTTGGCTCTGGTGGTTTTTCTTCCTAGGGTGTCGTATAAATGAGCTCTAGCCCATTTCTGCTTGGTTTCATTTCTGTCTTACCCAGTAGACCATGAGCTCCTCCTGACTACTTCAGCAGTCACTCCCGACACCCAAGATTCTGTGTTCCTACCAGGCCTTGCCCAGAGGAGGGCTGAAGAGATGCACTTAGAATTGTCCAATGAAATCACTGCTATAGATACAAGAGTTTCCTCTGTGCTCACGTTGCTTATAGACTAGATGAGCTAAGAGACACAGAGGAATATTAGGTTCTAAATCTTGGGGCACTGACTGTACTTCTAGAGCTCAGGGAAAGGAGAGCAGTTATGGGCTGCAGAGGCTGAGAAGGGCCTCCTGGTGAAATGGTCCTTTCACCTGGCCCAAGCCTACAGCTGGAAAAGTGGGGCCTATGTAGGAAGTGGAGAGGAAGCAAGCTCACTGGGGTGCTGAGTGTACAATGAAGAATTGTGGAAGTTAAGACTTGGGAGATGGGGAAGAAGGGACCTGTCTCCCCAGGGTCTTACCAGAAAGGCAAAATGCCCTTTCCTCTCATTGTGGGATTCCTCTTTCTTCCATCGCAATCTTGGGAGACCCCAGAGTTTGAGTGTCAGAAACTCTGGAGTTGAAAGACCTTGACTCAAGATCTGGCTCTACCACTCACTAGCTTTGTGACCTTTGGCATACCATTTATGCTCACTGAACTTCAGTGTGGCATCTATAAGATGGAGACAAAGATACCCCCCTAATTCACTTGGTTGTTGGGAGGGTTTAATGAGATAATGCCTGTGAGCACTTAGCACTGCCTAGTAGCACTTTGTAAGGGCTCGATAAATGGGAGGTGTTCTCATTATTTTGTAGGCAGACTTTACCACCAATGTCGGTGCTGAACTCTAGCTGGCCCCACGGAGGCGAGAGCCTCACCACTCAGGAGCCAGGTCCACCAGAGAACTTAGACAGTGACCCAGGCCACCTGTCAGAGGAGGACCCTGAGGAGACCTTTGCTCAGGTAGTAAGAGTCCTGCCCTTCCCTCTGAGACCAGCATGCCTCTATCCTTTGGATCTCTTCCCATTTCCACCAACTGGGAGGTGATTAGCCTTTGTGCCCAGCCGCCTATGGCCTTTTCCTCTTTGCAGGGATCCCTTCCTACATCCCCCTCAGGACATGGGGGTTTGACTTTAAGTGTATCCACATGGATACACATTACCTCTACTTGGGGGTGTGTGTTGTCAAATTAGACCCAGGAGCTTTGGCCCTAAGGGGCGGGGCGGCGGGTGGGGGGGGCGGTGATTTCAAGCATAAGAAGGGAAGCCGAATTGGGATGTGAGGCCTCCCCAACCTCCCTCAATCAAACCACAAAGGTAAAGTGGATCAGCTGTCCTGGTGATCTTGAAGGAGTTGATCAACCAAATGGGAGGTGGTGGGTGCTTGGATGTGCCAGATTGGAGAAGAGTTGGCAATGAGGAGGGGAGAGAAGAAAGGGAAGGAAGGAAAACCTAGCTCTACTCATCTTTTGCTGTGTCTCCTCAGAATCCTGAAGTTCTGGGCTTAGGGCTCCCTGGCCTGGACACCAACCCAGCCAACTGGCCTGGGCTTCGGACGCTCCTGCAGCAGCTCCCTCCACAGGACAGCAGTGTGGGTCTCCCTCTCCCCAGCTTCCCTCTCTTTGGCCTCCCTCTTTTCATACTATGGGAAGAACCTTGGTCCAGAAGTCAGGGAACGTGGATTTAAGGCCTGGCTGTGCCACTAATTGGGAGAAGTCATCCGCCACCTTCAGCCTGAGTTTCCACATATACATACATAATGGGTACAATCATCTACATACTGGCTGTTCTGCCCACCACAATGCTTAGTTGAAGAGCAAATGAGAAAATGGACATGAACGACTTTTGAAACCATTAATGGAATGTACAATGTAAGGAGTATGGTTAAGTATTTATTGAGGCCCTGTGTCCCCAGTCTAAAGGCTTACAATCAATTGGGAAGGCAAGAGAGGAGAATATGGAATAAATAGGGAAAACAATAGGAAGTGATATTGAGCTACATTTAATTGAGAGCACCTAATTGAGGACCTAAATATATGGTGACAGGGCTGAGTGCTATGGGGCTATTAGACCTGAGTGATGACCACCCTTGGGGCAGGGAGTGAGGTGGACTTACCGGAGCTCTTGTCCTTTTTCCCCTCTCCATCTCAATGCTCTTCTGTGCTGTTATCACCTGCACCTCCCTGAGGTTCTACAACCTTACTTTGACCCAGCAGCTAAGCCTTCTCTCTCCAATCAAACTTCAGTCTTGCTTGCCGGGGGTTCTCCTGGTCACAGTGGAGGCCTATTTCTATAGGAGCGATACTGCCTGGCCCTTGGGGAAGAGGAGCTGGCTGAGCTGCGGCTCTTTTGTGCCCAGCGAAGGCGGGAGGCCCTGGGACAGGGGGTGGCACGCCTGGTACCTCCCAAGCTCAAAGAATGCACTTGTGAGAAGGTATGTAGTACAACCCCCTTCAATAGTCCCCTTCCTCCACCCTTTGCCCTCTCACTTCTGCAGGAGCTAGCTTCTGGGACTCTGGTGGGAAAAGAATGTTTGGGGATTGACAGTTTGACAAACTTTAGGGAAAAGGGAAACCAAGTTTGGGGGTTCTTAGTGGAGCCTGCAGTGGAGGTGGGCTTGCCCAGAGGTATGGGGAGAACAGGTTGTGGTTGGGGTGGAAGAGCCAGGAGAAACACTGGGAGGGTGGTGCTGCCTTTGACCAGCAAGCACCCCTGCCTGGCAGTGCAGGGAGCAGATGAGGCCAGGGGAATACGGCGTGTTTGCAGCCCGGGCAGGAGAGCGGCGTTGCTGGCACCAGGCTTGCTTTGCCTGCCAGGCCTGTGGCCAGGCCCTGATAAACCTCATCTACTTCTACCACAATGGGCGTCTGTACTGCGGCCGTCATCACGCTGAGCTGCTGAGGCCACGCTGCCCTGCTTGTGACCAGGTATAGACTGGAGGGGAGGGGCTGAGGGGGTCTGCTCAGGGTCCAACAGTGGCAGGATGTAAGGGGACACCTCTCAGTACTGCAGAATGGAGTAGGGAGAACTGGGAACCAGCCTGGGGCCTTTGTGTTCCCATTGCTCTGACTTGAGCCCTGAGCATGTGGGACCCTTTGCCTTTGTGGCCTCCACCACAGCACGCAGTGTCCCCCAAGTTTTCTGGGACTGAGAATTTCTCAGCAGCAGGGACTCTTGGACAGACTTTCACATCAGTATGCCGAGTGCCTAGTGTTGTCTTTGATGATGCAAGGAACTCAATGTCAGCATAAGAGGCAGAGTGGAACCCTGGGTTAGGAGTCCAGGCGACCAGGTCTCACGTAAGGCTGTGCCACCTGCTAGCTGGGGAATCCTGGCTAAGCCAATCAGCCCTCCCTGCGTCTGAGAGTGGCTGAGTAGATCAGATGGGAATGTCTGTAGACATGCTTTAGCGTTAACTGCGTATAAAGCGTGGTTATTGGATGAATGAATGAGTGAATGAATGAATGAGTCGTTCCTCTCTCCCTCTCCCAGCTGATCTTCTCCCCGCGCTGTACCGAGGCGGAGGGACGGCGCTGGCACGAGAACCACTTCTGCTGCCAGGACTGCGCCGGGCCCTTGGGCGGGGGCCGTTATGCCCTGCCCGGGGGCGGCCCCTGCTGCCCCAGCTGCTTTGAGAGTCGCTATTTAAATGCCGGCTTGAGCCCAGCTCCGGCAATGGAAGGAAGGGCGTCCCTTGGTAAGAGAGGAAAGGTGCAGATCAAAAGGGAAGGGGGCAGCGGCTTGGGCTGGGCTGAGGAGGGGATTCTCCCGGGATGGGACCCTCGCCCCGATCCCACGCCGTCCCGTCCCTCCAGCAGCGCCCCCGACCCCAACCGCACCTCCCAGACCCGAGTCTCGGGGCCCGCAGCTCTCACCGCGCGTCCCAGGCCGGAGCGCTCCAAGGGCCTCCCGAACCCACCCCGCGCCGCAGCCTCAACAGCGGCGCGGCACTCGGCTCCTGTAGTGGGGACGCGGCCGCCCTCTGGTGGGCGGAGGCGGGGAGGGGCGGGGAGCCCTGGAGAGGAATCGCCGCGGCGGAGGCGCGCACGGCCCGGGGGCGGGGCGGGAGCCTGGGTCTGGCTTCAGTGGGCCGCCCCGCAGGGATGTGGGTAAGAAACTCGGAGCTCTGAGAAGAGCATGTCTGACCCATCCTGGAGCAGGGGAGTCGGGGCTCGACAGAGTTGAAGGAGGGGACCGCGTCCCACTGCACGCTCTGACCATCTCCGAAGCAACCCTTCTGAACGCAGCTACTGCCAGCTCCAGTCCAGAAACCCAGAGGGTACTGCATGGATCGAGCCTGGAGCAGGAGTGCCGAGCTGGGGACAAGGCTGAGGCACCCAAAGGGCGGGAGCAGGGCCCCTTGGAAACGCCCCTTGATCCCAAGGAGGACGTCCCTTGCCCCACCTGCTCCTCCTCTTCTGACTCAGAACCCGAAGGCTTTTTCTTAGGCCAGCGCCTTCCCCGGCCCTGCAAGACTCCTGGAAGCTTCCAAGCTGGGGACAGCAACACCCCCCGGAAACATTGCACTATTTGCTAGTGGCGCGGCCTGCAGAAGGGGGAGTCGGGGGAGGGGTGATCTGTTAAGCGGGAGAGAAGGCTCTCATCTCCCTATAAAAATCCTAGACTGAACGCCTTCAGGGGCAGGCCTGGGAGGGGTGGAGAGATGACAAACTTTGAGTACTGCAGCCCGCGCATTCTGTGACTTTTGATGGAGGCTTTCTTGAGGAACCCCATTCCCCCAAACTACACATCCCCTGCGAAGCTAGCCCCTACCCCGACTTCCATAGCCTAGGACAGCCCTATCCCCAGCATCCTCCTGAGCTAATGAAGTGATCACTCAGAGGCCACGTGTGACGGTGACCGGCTTGGCGAGCCAGAGGTGGAACCGGACAAAGGGACCGCAGAGCTGGGCCTCGCTCCACCCCTTGCAGAGCTCGTGGACGCGCAGCCCGGGAATTATACCTCTCTCGCGGGCGTCCAACCAAGCTCAAGCTGCAGCTTCCTCTGTCGGCCAGTAGTCGGGGTGGGGGGGGGGGTGCGAGACCGGAAGTTGCGTCATCCGTCAGCGCCGACAAGGTGCGTCATCGGAGTCCTTGTGGAGCGTGAAGGTGCTGGTATGTCTTCCAGTGGGGTCGGCGTGAACGCTGGCGGCTCGGCAAATGAAGCGCCCGAAATTCCAGACAACGTGGGAGACTGGCTTCGGGGCGTCTACCGCTTCGCCACCGATAGGAATGATTTCCGGAGGTAACCGAGGCCCAGGAGTCGGGTCCCTCTTTGTTCCTCTGCTCCCGTAAACATAATATGTCGCATTTTCCTTCTTTGCTGAGGCTAGCGCCTTCGGGCTTTTTCCCCTGCAAGCATCTTGGCTTCTTAGTGGCTCTGGCCGTGCTTTGCCCACTCCTTGACAGGGAGAGTTCCCATACAGCAATAGCGATCTTTTCAGTCACGGGGCTGTGTCTAGAGAATTTCACCCTGACTGAAGGGACCCGGAAAGAGGAGGCGCCAACACATAAACGAGCCGAACAAGTGCTTTCTTGGCCATTGCACTTCCTCCTGCTCTTACTAGAGAAACCAACTCTGTGTGGGTTTTGGGCAACCTACCATGTAACGATTAGCGCTCCTGCATTCAAGAAGTGTTTTTGCCTCGGGGAAATTTTTCCTGAGTGGTGGTAGGAAGCCTTTCCCCTCAGTATCTTTCGTTAACCACAGCGACTCAGTGACCACAGGGTTAGTGAAATACTTTCTTTCCAGGAACTTGATCCTCAATTTGGGACTTTTCGCTGCGGGAGTTTGGCTGGCCAGGAATTTGAGTGATATTGACCTAATGGCACCTCAGCCAGGGGTGTAGCCAAATAGGTAAGCACTTAACCACTGCTGTGTGTCTTAGAATTCCTAGAGGCTGCGAGAAGCAATAACTTTATCAACTGTTCACAAAACATAGGAAAGAGACTTGATGTAAAACCCTTGGCTGTTTCTTAAATGTTTCTGTAACCAGGGATTTCAGTCTCTCACCAATTTCCTTTTACATTTGCTTTTACACTTCTAATGCCACCTGTTGCCCTGTCGTCTGATTGTAGACACATGGAACCTGTGCTGTACTTGAACCTTCCAAAAGCAGAGCCTCCAGTTTGTGACCATCACAAGACCTGCCTTGATGGCAGCTGAAGTTTGATTCAGATGGGCACCTTCTCTTCTCTGCCTGATCTCCTCTTCCAAGTCCGCTCCATTCTCTGGTTGGCCATCAGGCTTCAGTTAAAGTGTTGTCCTTTGTTCTGTAAACTTATGTACATAGTTCCTAAGTTTCTGCAGGGGGTGATCTTTGCTCTTGTTTTGAGGAATAACATAATGGTATTTTAACAATTATTTGAAATAAATGCTTCACACAAAGCCATTTTTTATTCTTTTAATAAGAAACTTCGGCTTACAAAAACAAGGTGTAAAAAGTTGATTTACAAAAATCATAAAAACATGACATATTTCACACTCGAGACAGGAACAAGCCCCAAACAGGCTGTAACAGGTGGTTTGCTTCATATTATAAGAAAAAAAGAAATGGAAACTGTAGCAACCATACATTGATGTTAACATAGGATGAAACTTATTCTTGAGGAATTTCCACTTTTGAGCAGTACTAGGGGAAGAAGCCATTTGGTGTTGCATAGCATGTTAGTGCACCAGGTGGGTTTTTCAGGCACCAGGGAGGCATTGTTGCTGTAATGGGATTTGTTGGCAGAAAGAGTAATGTGCAGGTGGGGGCAAGGTGTTAAGTAAGCCTGGGCAATGAGCACTAAAGTGAGCAGCTGTCTGCTTGAGAAAACTGCTTTCACAAGGAAATAGATGTCTTCTGACCCTGATATTCATGATAGTGCCACTGTCCAAAGGGAAATATGTAAGGAACTAGCATGGATTCATGTGGGCTTAGATGTGAAGATAGAGACAGGTTTCCGTTGGCAACTTTTTTTTCTAGTTGATTTATTCTACTAGGCATTTTAATACTGCTTTTCTATGCCAAGTCGCTTATGGAACTGGTATGGGATTAAGGGACATGAATTGGAAAGGAGGGTCAGTATGACATACTATCGTGGCCTAATTGTTACAATTGACAGATGTTGTCGCAGCAGTCTGTTTACTAAAAGTAGACAGGACAAAATACAGTCCCTCTTGACTCTGCTGGCATAAATCTCATTAAGAAAGCTGTTTGAGAATTAACTTTATATTTTTTTCTTTTTTTTTTAAAAAGCACTATTTTATTGTATTAATTAGGTAGGTCCCATCTGTTAGGAGGAAGGAGTTTAAACCTGTGTGAATTCAGGGCTGTGGCTGGCTTAACATGAAACCAAAATCCTTTTAAGAGTCTACAGTGGGACCACAGATGATCTGACAGATTTATATCTTACTAGGTGTTAAGATGAAAAAGGGTCAAACAAATATGAGAGCAAGGCTTAGGTTTGAAGCCATCACCCCCCAAATGGTGATCAAGAAAGAAACTTTTAAGCCATAACATAGATTCTAAGCCCCTTCCAAACTGCATCAGAGCACTGCTAAGACAAATACCAGCACCTGTTCTTTATGGGCATGAAACATATCCTTGAAGCCTGCTACCAGATCTCATAATTGTGAACAGTTCTATTTGATAAAAGTTTCCAGTTGAAAATCAAAATCCAGCAACAATTAAGACACGGTAGCTTCCAAAAGCATAACTGAAATTTCACTCAAAATTTAGTGTTTTATATTGAATGTCAACTGTAATTGAAAAAAAAATTATATAAAAATATCTACTGTTTTAGTTTCAAGTAATAGCGTTTGCTGTTGGTCCGTAAAGCCATAATGCTAGTAAGGTTTCATTTAAACTGGCTTAATTCCTCAAAGTGATAAGACTTTAGCAAATAAAGCTACCAAATCTACAATTTCAAAAATCGTGATGAACCATTCTATAAATGAAAGTGCTGGCTTTCACCATTCCATTCTCCTCAAGGGAAGTCAATTTTACATGCCGTCACACAGTTTTAAGCCCTGGTTAGTTAACACAGTACTATGAAAATCACTTACACAAGAGCTAGTTAGATGTTAAATGGAAACATGCCAGAGTCCACAAAAATGACCATTCACCTCAATGCTATAGTAGCTATGGTATATTTAGAGCAATGTGTGGGTGTAATGAGTACACAGTGGTTAAAGTTGAAGTCTTAGACCAAGAGAATGGTTAATTTAAATGTGGAAGATATAAACGAAACTCACAGTCATATTTAGAAGGCGCTTTTCAGCTGTAGTGCTGACTTCAAAAAAGAACCTGAACCACCAGGGTGATACATACTTACCCAGGAAAACTTAAGTGGCCATGGAAGGTTTTATTACAAAGATAGAATCTCCTCACCTAATTAGACCAGTAATTAGGCTGAGAGACCCAATTATTAAATGTGCTTAGCATGGTGAACTTTCTAAATACCCTTTGGTGAAGTCTCAATGAAAACAAAGTCAAAGGACATGCTGTAAACAGCCCTGCAGGTGAGCAAACTGGGTCTTAACCTCCTTCCACAGCCCTCAGCATCATCCCAGTCAACACCCACTGAGGAGAGGGGCAGGGATGGGTTCTTTGAGCCTTCTCTTGGGTATTACACAGTGCACTGGCTTGCCTTACGGTCTAAATTAAAGGTTCACATATAGGGGATTGTGTTCTATAGTGCTTCCTGAAATTGTGTGCAAAAGAACTTCAGAATTAACGAAGGTGGTAGCACTTCAGGAGGACCCATTTTTGTTGGACTTCTACCATAAGTTGCCCAGCATTAAAAAATGAAAAATCCTTTTCTGAATGCTTGTGCTCTCCCAACCAGCTGGAAGAGCAGCCCTTCCACTAAGATAAAATCCCAGATAGGGATATAGTATATGTTTAAGAAGGGGCGGCCCTCTCAGTCTGATTTGAAAAGGCCTGAGTTAATGTTTTGAACATAAAAGAGGTGGTGAAAATAATGCGGTATATAGTCTGCTTTGAAAAGCAGCCATTTCATGAATAATCACAAATACAAAGATTTTGGACATTACAGAAAAATTTCAGGTCTTGCTGGTAAGAATACTTTGCTTTCACACACAAGAGATATGAAATGCTTTTAAAAAGTCCGATACCAAATGTCCTTTACACTGTACAGACCAATTTGCCACTTGAAATGACAAGAAGGAACCTTTTCCCTTAATTTTTTCAATCCCATGCAAACCATAATTAGGTACAAGGCACCAAATTTAATGAATTGTATAAAATTAGTTCACAAAGCTTTATCAGTTAAGTAAAACAAACTCCATTTCTCCCTCCCTGCCTGCCCACCTACATCCCACCCCCAACACCCAACCAAGTTTTCATTCTGCACTACTGTCGACCTCTCTCAGGCTTATGCTGGGGCATGGCTAGGGCCATATGCCACTGCCGGCCAACCCACCCCATTAATTCTTGCACTTGGATGGCACTGTAAGCATAGCCAGAGAAGGGAACTCATACAATCACTGACTCTAGTTAAAAACAAAAATAAACTCTGCTATTGAGTCCATAGGACACATTAACACTTCTACAGTTTCCAATTTTATTCATGACATTTAGAGAGACATCTGGAAATTCTTTACAGTGTGGCACTGCCCCCCTCAGCCTGAGAGGGGCTGCATCAAAGCTGGCAAGAGCTCTGCCTGCCATTTAATAAGAGCTTCAGTTTCTGGCTGTTGAGGGCATTCCTAATCTTTTTTTACGCTAGCATGGATGCTCATCTCAGAGGCAACCACAAGTATGAAGGTCAGGCTAGACTGAGGTAAAAATCCTTGTTGAGGGCCGGCGTGCATTCATCTTGGCTGGCTACAGCAGAAAGTAAACACACCAGCCAACTGCAAAGGGTTTCTGGAATGGGACTCTAACTACTTATGGGAGAGACACGGGTTTGTAAGGTTCTGTTAGGAGAGCTTGGGTTTGATTTGGCAGCATCTAGTCAATTTCTACCTGGCTCTTATTTTCTTCTCTTTAGAATGTTTCAATTTAAAGTAAGATACAACTAAGAAATTCATCTACTGCCAACATTAAATAAATTAAAGTCAAAGGGACGCTTCCCTAACAGCCATTGACTTACGTAGCAGGGCACTCTTTAATAAAAATCTTCATAAATACTAACTTCTCAACAGCGTCTAATGCTGCTGCCTCTGGGTACCTGAGGTGTCTGTGACTGCAGGGGCACCTTCAAGAGTGCAGCTCAGTGAGGACTCTGATATTGGTTTCTATTCCAACTCATTTTAAACAGTTTTATTAATTTGATACAGGGGTGCTCAGCTAAGCACTTATCTTACGAAGTATTTAATCTGCTCATTCCTTATACTATTTGGTATAAAACTATTTTTAAAAATTAAATTTGAAGATCTTTTAGTTTTCCATTAAATGTTTGTTCATTTTTCTTAAGTATTTCCCCCTGGACAGCCGGAGGGATGAAGTAGATGCTCTATTCTCCATTTGTAAGTTCTCTTTCTAGAATAATAAATATAGCACTCAGTGAAAGATGAGGCACAATTTATATTTTCCTTTCCTTCATTTTTTTGAGTTAATGGGCTTCTCTATTGCCACAAAAAGTCATCACCAATCATGCTGACTTAAAAATGTGGATCTAGAGAGTATAGCTTTACATCAGAGCCTCTGGCAGTATGGGCAGCTGTGACACTTTAAAACAGTGTCCAGGAGAGGGTGAGCCCGGGCCAAGGTTATACAAAGAAGTCTGCAGTAGACAATATAAACCAAACAGCATAAAAAAATGCCATACGCTATCGCTTCCAAATAAAAGCTAAATATTACAGAAACCTCACAGTGTTGGAAAAAGCAAGTTTAATTTAAAATATAGTCACTCCCCCTTCCTTATCAGGGTGAGCCATTTTATGTCTGAATTTTTTCCATGTCTCAGTGCTGTCTGGCAGGTCCCATGGGAGAGTTCATCTCAAAAGAGGTCAACAACAAATGCTACAGATCTGCTCAGGAATGTGGCTCATCAACAGCGCTAAAGCTACGACCCTTATTCATTAGCCTCCCTTTTCCCAATTTCCCACCCCTCCCCAACTCCCTTCCACATCTACTCCCTTCAAGTGACAACTGTACTTCTACCTGAATTGAAATATTAATATGATATACTCAGTCAAAAGATGAGCATTCATATGACGGGCTGAGGCAGGCTGCAGCAACCCCACGAGAGTTATGGTTTGCATTCATTTGTACCGGCAAGTCTAAGCGAAGGATTGAGAAGGGAAATTCAGTGATAGCTGATGGGGAGGAAGGTTTCCATCTGGGCAATTTTATTCCACTTAGAAACTGACCCAGTTAGAAAGAAAGATCTCTTTTACTAGCATTGGACAGGGCATTCTTGCTTTTCTCTGGTGGAGTGTGGCTGGGTAAAGAAACAGTAGGGATTATCATCAGATTTGGGAGGAAACAGGCCAGGGCCATCAGCAGTAAACTGTTTGGACATATAGGGGGCACATTCCTAAGCCCTAGGAAAGCAGAAGCTCTCAAACCTTGTAGTGAACAAGAATATTCTGGTCCTTCAGGTGCATGGAAGAAGCTGCAGGTTAAGAAAAGCTGCATGCTGCACCAGGTGAGAACGGGTGATAGGTATTCATGTAAGCCCTGGGCCTCCAGCTGTCCCTGCCCCGTCTCAGTTGAGTTCTGAAAAAGCCTCAGACAACTGACTTAAAGACCAAGTGAAACCAAACCCTACACCCTGACCTGACCTGAACCAAGGATTTGCTACAGAACTAGGTAGCCCCGAGCACTCTTCGGCTCAGCATGCAACAAAGAATATGTCATGTGCCAGTTTATTGCTTCCCCATATGAACTGCTCCTTCTTTAGAATGAAGGGATGTTCATGCCAGTCTCAGAAGATGTGGAATGATTAAATGGGCAGCAGCCAGGGAGGGTATGACACATGAAAAACCTCCCATCTGCATGGGGAAATTTGCTCCATGCATCTCATTCCACTCTTCAGCTGCTATCCCCCCAAAAAGGAAGTCTGCAAGTTTTTAACTCTTGAAGGTTACTACTTCCTTTGTAGGAACAAATCCTTAGACTGCACCTCCTGCCTTAGAACCGATCCTATCCAGCAAGCTGCCAACCCGAGGC